TGTTTTCACGAGCTTATAAAGCAGTCTGTAATTATGGAAATGGAAATTGAAAAGGGAAGCTTAACTGTGTTGACACAAAGGATATGGAAGTCCACAGTCTGAATGCTTTTTGCTGTTTAAATATAATCTTTTGGTATTATCTTTTATTCTCGCATATGGAAGCAAATTTACAAAGAACCTTCTCAACTCATGCTTACAAAATAAAGCTGCTTTTTCCAACCAGAGAATATAACATCTAAGAATGCCGCATTAAGTCATGGCTTTTAAATGGTACAGAATAGAAGCATTAATCTTTCCAGAAAACATTTAGGACAGATGTAAAGTCATAGATATCTTACTGGCTTTTTATCAGGACTTTGACTAGATGTGATGGAAAAAGCAAAATAAGGTTATGTTTTAACATATATTTTCATGTGTAAGCATTTTCTGGAAGACATGTATGGTCATCAGTTGTCCCTCACCAGTGCCTACGTAATGGAGTAGGTAAAAGACAGCATAGAAAGGACAGAATTACGGTCAAAATATTCAATTCTCTTAACTCAAAAATAAATTAACCTGCAAATATAAACTACCTCATAACAACTTCAATTGTTCCACAACTTGATGTGCTACATCCCAAAGATGGAAGGGATTAGGACACAAGTAATTAGGAAAGCAACAGTATAAATATCAAACAGATAAAATGCATGTATATATAAATTACATAGGCATACGCAAATACATACTCACACAAACACACACACACACACGAGACAGAAATTAACATATTTAAATACCTATGTATAAGGCAACTGTGAAGCTGCACAAACCACAACCAGTAACTGTTAACACTGAAAGTTGCTTGAAAATTTAGGGAAGTAATTAACCTCCTGGCCCCCAGTTTTCAAGCCCATGGAGCAGACCATAGAATTTCTTTTACAATTTATGAACAAGCCAAGGAATTTATATCACAGTCAGAGAATTCTTTTGCTGAATTAACCCCCGCTCCCTCTGACCCCAAGAAGTCATAAACCAACAGGATACAGCAGAGGGAGAATGTGCTATAGTGTTTCAGCTGACCTACAGAGCGCTGTCTCTGTCATGCCAAGGCTAGAAACCCAGATGATGAATTACAGAGCAATATTCTAGGTTCAGATGCAAACATCAACCCCTTCCCTCCATACATGCACATGCAGACATGTTCACTCACCCCAAACCAGCTCAGTTTCTGCAAAAGGCCAAGTACTGTTAGGGCTCATTTACAGAGTCTTACTCTAAAAGAGGGAAGAAAATTGCTTATCAAGGAAGCATGCATACATCTGTGAGTAACAATATTTAAGAACACATGTTGCGTATTAAATAAAAGCCAAAAACCCAACAAGCTTCTCTTTTTGTATATGGATTATTAAGCATATCAAAAATACAATTCTAAAGCAGAACCAGGGGGGTACTCAAGAACCTTGACCTTTATAAAGAACAGCTTTATAAATAAAAAAAGGATAAAAACTGGTGCCCGATTCTCTTTAAAAGAACTCTGCCTGGTTGTATTTTGTAAATACTGAACAAAGCCTCTTATACAAAGTACCTAATAAAACAAAGTCTAGCTGACCACATGCACAGAAAATGGGATAACACAAATGTCTGCACCAGGACCTCAAACCTAATCAGCTGTAATCACTAAGACATTAAGGTCTTTGCAATATTTACACTTATGGGGTACTGCTTAGTTGCACCAAAAGCTTAGCCCCAGCTGAAGGCTTATGCACAAAGATGAATCATCTCTTGAAAACAGACAGTGGCTGGTTGATTCATTTCTAGCTCAGAATGAAAATTGATACTTTGACGTCTGACCAAAAAAAAAAAAAGGAGGGCACAGTTTTGAACTGGTTAATTCAAAACCACAGAATTTAAAGATACCAATAGGATGAAGTATTCAACACTACAACATTCAGAAACTGAACATCCATCACTGAATAAAGTAAGTTTGTGGCTCCTCTGTTTGGTGAACTGAAAATTCCCTGCAAAGTTGTCAAGGATTTTCATGATAAGGTGAACTTTATTACTAAAAGCCATTAAATGAGTACTCAACTTTTTTTTGTACTGTTTGTAGATGACACTGATTCCCTTCACCAACTACCCTTACTTTCTTTGGAAACGATGCAAGCTATTCCTTAGAAAGCTGTGCTGCCTCAGGCCCACTGAACATTGGACAATAAATTTCCTCTTATGATTTACTCTGCGTGTATTATGGTCATGAACATCTTGGCTGAAGTCTTCAGGTACAGCACAAGTCAAAACCACCTCACCAGAAATACAACACAAATCTAACTATGGCATTTTCTCACTAAACATCACATAAGGCATTTTGCCACATAACTTAAAGATTTTTTTTTTTTCATTTTTAAGCCACAAGTCACAAATTAGCAGCAACTACCCATATACATGCTTTTCCCCACCCTCCTCATTTCACCAGGATAATCAAGGAAGAGTCAGGAATCATAACAGGATAATATCAGAAACAACCATGAAAATGTGTTTCAGTAGATTCTCCCAGTGCAGAATGTGAATCACAAAATTCTCCACAAAAAAATGTGATTGACATCACAAAAGCAGCTAGACTGGAAGGGGAAAGGATCAGGGTTTATTTATCACAGGTCATTATAAATGCATTTAGCAAGGCACTTTTACTGAATTAGTAACTCTCTTTAAAATGAGTGCTTCTAGCTTTTTAGGTAAAGAAAGAGGCCTTGAGAGTTTCCCTCCTTCTGCAGTGTTATCCTTTCACAAATTGTTTTCACACTGCATATAATTCCAACCTGTATCATCTCCTGGCAAGGTAGTTACTCCCAACCTATTTAATTTACAAATGTACTAGAAATCTTCAGTGCCTTTCTACTTGAAGTAAGTTCAAAATGTCATAGTTTACTGTTTCTCGTATAATAGTGCCTACAAATTTTGCAAGGCTCTATAGTCAAGGTTAGAGGTCTCTGGTGTGTGGTTTCATGAAACTCACCTTAGCCTAACTCCTAAATTTAGGAAAGCCCGCTTGAGAGAGCTGAAACATTAAATGTAACTGGTAGCAGCACATGTGTGAAAAGCATTTTCCCTCAGACAGCTATAAAGCATTTTCCCCAGAGCTATCTGCACTATCAACTTGAAAAACTAGGGCCTTTCTAGTCTGTGCAAACTCATGTACAACACTGATAGAACACAGAAAACATACCTAAAGTTTAAGGAAAGGGCCCATGAAATAAGAAAAAACAAAAGCACCACACTAGTAAAGGCAATAAAGCAGACTTGGCTGCAAAACACATTGGAATGTTAATCCAGAGATTTTAATGAAGAATTAGATTTGATATTCCTTTAAGCATTAGAAAAATTCTATGAAAGTCCTAATTTTCGTGAAAGTCTAGTATACCAAAATATCAGAAAATTAAAGGGCAATGTAGTTCCTCATGGGATGGCAAGGAGAAGGTAAAGAAATATCCATAAGCAAAGTAACTTCATGAAAAATGTTAACACAGATTAGAAATCGAGGCAGGCATATTCCTAGAAGCCAGGACTGACACACTGAGTGACTAACAATACTATTGAATTGCTTCCTTTTACTCCTGCTACCCAATTCATTAAAGTACAGCTCGGGTGGGTAAGTGGTTGGTTCTTCCAAGGGGCACAGTCCCCAAGGGTTCTCTAAATCCTCATACCTCACGCTCCATGAGTGTTGGGGATTTTTTTCCTTCCTCTTCTCTGCACTTTCAGGAAGTCAGACAAAGAAGAGAAACCCACAGCTTACCGGAGAGAAGACTGAAGAGAAAGGCAGAACAGGTGAGACTGTGCAGGAAGGACTTTGAAAGGAGTTGGGAAAGAAAGAACAAGAATAAAGAGGAGGAATGGACAGAACTGCTACATTGTGAATTCTGGGTCTTGCCAGCTTTGATCTTCAGTGTCTTTTGTGTCTGTGATTATACAGCACACGTGAACCACCTGAGCAGAATGCACATACACAGGTTTATATATGTATATGTTTTTATACAGCTGCTATGAGGAATAAATGTTCCAAACATGAAATTGAATAAAGAATAAGAGCTAAAGATAAAAGTAAATTTTAGCATTTTATCCTGCCTGCAGGACCGGGATAAAAATTTGCTAGTGTCTCTAGCAGTCAAATAAAAAAATCACAATATATCAAAAACTAGTAAAATCTGTAATCTTAACAGGTGTGCTTGATAGACTGAAGTGATTAAGACTTTTCCAAACATAGTAGAAAGCCAAATGATTAAAAACACCAATTCTGTCATCTCCTTGCAAACCAAATTTGCTTATGAATAGAATGTCATAGGAAGGCTATTTGTTAACCGATACTTTGACTGCCAAAGGCAAATCTACACCATTATACACTGGAGAGAAATTATCACAGAGAAACCCCTTTCAGTTGCCTGCCACTTATTTGAATGAAAGCATAAGGTTATCAAAGGAAACCTATCAACATAACATGACTAATTTATTTTCAGTGTGCTTACGGAAGCACAGACATAACATGGTAGGGAAACCGTAATGCAATCTGGGTGGCAATATAAAATAAGTTACATAACTCAGACCTAGGAATATTAGAAGATCAGCAGAATGAGTCAAATGTTGCAACAGAAAATAAATTTTGAGATAAATCATACTCCATGTAGAACATTCTAATTTAGGTAACATAGAGGTTGCAATAAGGTCAGAAGTTACATTAGTATGAAATCGGTTTCAAAACACCTTAGCAGCCACAGAGATTAATTAACTCATATTGGAACTATTCATATACATATATACACACACACACATTCATACATAGTAACAATAGAGAATAGAATCTGGTTTTAAACTTTAAGAAGGTAAAACGTCTGAGAAAGATGCTGTGTTAGGCCTACCTGTAAATCTGCATTTCTGTTTGTAGACAGAAAAATTGTGGACATCCTTACAGATACCTTGTTATATATTTAGAAAGTGTTCTCTGTTCATTAAAATAAACAACACTGTACCTGTGTGGCTTCGAATATGAACTCTCAGTGTTCCATTGCTTGCAAACTTCTGTCCGCAATACGGGCAAATCTTCTCTTTTTCTCCTGTGTGAGTCTACATAGGGTGGGGAAAGACAAGAATGAAAGCCTCAGCATAGCTTTAAAAGAAGTGAAATATGGAATATTTTAACTGCATTGACATTGACAACTATTGTCTCCATTATATATTTTATACCATCACATCAGGCAGAGATTCAAAGGAATTAGCTATAGGTGTTCTTTCAATTTTCTTCTAAAATTTCTAAACAAATTTCATTATTAATGGCAAAATAAATTGGCTTGTCAGTTCCTAATTTTACTATTTCCAAGTCACTATTAAAAATGCCCAGTTCCCCTTCGTGTATTTTCATGACTGCAAGAATAAGGCACCTATTTTTCAGTTTGATATCTGTGATAAGTGGTTTCTAAACCAGCAAACAATTATTTGGTTACCTGATAAAATTAGTCTTCATAACGGGGTCTATTTTTAAAAGCTTGTAATTTCACAGAATTTTATTACATTATGAAACGTAGTGAAAATAGTTTACCTAATCTAGTACAACTTTTCCTGTTGCAAACTTGAACTGGAGCTTTAAAAGGTCTCTATGGAGATGTGTGCATATGATTTCTGACTGCTCTTATGAATGGAATTCAGACATCATTTCATCTTAAGTACAACAGAAAACAATCCCTCAAAGTTCTCAATGATTTCAATCAACACAAATTGCATACTGGATCCTGCCTAGTTTGTAATAAATGCTAGAATCAGATTGCATTTAGAGAATTGATCACGAGAAGTATATTGTAGTTGTCAGTAAGTCACACACTGAGCTTGTCTTTTGAAATCAAACTTTTAAGGCTAGAGTGCCCTGCTGAGATAAGAATAATTATTTCAAAATGGAAAAAAAGTCTCAAACTCTCCCATCCAACCTGTGCGGTCAGCAGCAAGACCACCTTGAAGTAAGTTACATACACGGGTTCTCATCATTTTTCACATTGTACCTTCAACACCCAATTCTGAATGGAAAATTTATCAGCCTACTGAATAACTTTTGCTTATAACTGTGACTGCTTTTTTAGTGAAGAATGTTTGATTACTTCCTTTAAGTGTTAATTTAATTTAAATGGGATATGAAAGATAACACATTAAATTATGTGTACAGCTGACAATTTGGGTTTCAAACTTTGCACATGACTCTCTCCAGATAGAGAAATTAATTCTTATTTTTATGAAAGACACTGAAGTGATATAAAATTCTTTATTATGACATAAAAACCTTATATCACATAGTTCATATTATGCTGCAGCTGAAAAAAGAGTAAATGAGACATCATTTCAATACTTGATGGACTTGCATAGTGTTCATCCCCTGACATAGGGACATGTACATTAAATCCCTCTTGATTAGGATAGAGTTGTTTAGAAATCACTTATGTCTCTAACAGCAACATTGGGGGATACCAGACAGACAGCTATTAATTACATTACAACTACAAGGCTCACAAATACACAGCTAGTCCTAGTTTGACAGCAGCACAAAGCAAGAGCAATTACATTTAAGATAGAATGTCAAAGAAAGAATAGGGATAAATGATAAACAGTAGCTGCTTTCCATTAAAACACAAATACATACATTTCTTCCCTGTAACGTAAATCTTACCTCAGGCCAAACTGGTGAGCAAGCTTTCTGATGGACTTGCATAGTGTTCATCCCCTGACATAGGGACATGTACATTAAATCCCTCTTGATTAGGATAGAGTTGTTTAGAAATCACTTATGTCTCTAACAGCAACATTTGGGGGATACCAGACAGACAGCTATTAATTACATTACAACTACAAGGCTCACAAATACACAGCTAGTCCTAGTTTGACAGCAGCACAAAGCAAGAGCAATTACATTTAAGATAGAATGTCAAAGAAAGAATAGGGATAAATGATAAACAGTAGCTGCTTTCCATTAAAACACAAATACATACATTTCTTCCCTGTAACGTAAATCTTACCTCAGGCCAAACTGGTGAGCAAGCTTTCTTCTAAAGTTTACCCCAGTTCAATTACAGAAATTGGTGGAGAGGAGCGCAGCAGGTCCCACCCTGCTACACACCTCATGCTGGAGTACCTCCACTGGATTTATACATATGCACCTGCTGCAGATTCTGCATACCACCAATAACCCCACTATCGCAATAAGCATTTTAGAATGCTAAGCACTGTCACAGCTTTCTACTAAAAGACAGAAATGCAGAAGCATCTGGAGATTTTATGTTCAGTCACAACCTTTTCTACTCACTTTTTTATGACTCTTCAGGACTGAGGGTGTCACAAAAGCTTTGTCACAGAGATCACACTTGTATTTCTTATGTCCATCGTGTACAACTTGAATGTGAACATTTAACGTGTCCTTTCTTTTGAAAGTAGCATCACAGTGATCACACTTGAAGGTCCTCTCACCTCATGAAGAGAAAAACAAGGTTTAAAGATACCAGATTTTTGTGGAAATGCACTAATGCTTATTCTTTCAGAAAAACAAATAAAAGCAAGGACAAATGAACAGCTGGGTCCTGAGACAGAAAGAAAAGAAATACCACATCAGGTAAAAATGCCATTGGGAAGTTAAGAAGTAGAAAGTAGTCATCAGAACAATGTAGCCAGAAATGTGAGATTAAACTCCGTAGACAAAGGTGAAATTGCAACCAGTGGAAATGGCTTCCAGTGTTAACAGAGCACAGGTTTTATCAGCACCTCCAGTAACAGACTCTCTTTATGGTAACAAGCAAAAAGATGAAATGGGCTTCAACTTTTGAAACTGAAATGGTAAGAGACATCTTCCTCAGTTTAAAAGAATTCTCAAACCAAGAAATACTTGCTTGGAGTAACCTATCTCATTCACACCAATACAGGCAAACTCGTATGACAAAGATGAAGTAACTTTTAAGTATTATAGCAGTATTACTATTCAAACTGTGGTGATGTGGTTGAAGGTTACGGTAGAGGCCAGGTTAATGTTGCTAATAGTTTTAAAATTCATTTTGTT